TTCCTCACCTCAAAAGTTGGTGTTGGAGCACCTATCTCTCCACTCCACGCCATCCCAGAGAGTGGTCCAGAGTAGTAATAAGGCATCTAGTGATTTCCAAGACTCTTCTAAGTGCCAGGCCCCAGGTAAAATACTTTGTTTGCGTTATCTAGGTTAAAGGAGGGGCAGACTTAAGAGGTAGATGCTGTTACCTCTGTTCAGCAGAGTGGATGCTGAGTCAAAGCAATCCTATCACAGCTGACAGGCTAACAGAGCGGGAGCAAGGAGGCTTCCCACTCCTCCTGTCTTTAGGACACTTGCAGGAGGTGCTGTTAGAGTAGATGCTGAGTCAAAGCAATCCTATCACAGCTCACAGGCTAACAGAGCGGGAGCAAGGAGGCTTTCCCACTCCTCCTGTCTTTAGGACACTTGCAGGAGCTGCCAGGATATTCAGAGCTTGTGAGCTCCTGCCCTGGCAGCAGACCTGTGTGACCTTGGGCTTCTCACCTCAACCTCACCTGAGAAACAGAAGCATTAGGACCTACTCGAAAGGGCTATTGGGGAGATTCAATGGGATCACAAACTAAAGAGCTTGGTGCAATGCCTGGCCCCAGGGCAGACCTGTTACCACGAAGGGCACAGACAATATTGAGCCTGTTGGCCACCTCTTGCTGCCCCTCCCCAGGGATGCCCTGTTCACCATCCAGTGGAACATCCGAGCCTTCAATGCTGTCAAGAATTGGTCATGGATGAAGCTCTTTTTTAAGATGAAGCCACTGCTGCGCTCGGCACAGGCTGAGGAGGAGCTGGCGGCCCTGCGGGCTGAGCTGCGGGGGCTGCGAGGGGCACTGGCCGCTGCGGAGGCCAAGCGCCAGGAGCTGGAGGAGACACACGTCAGTGTCACCCAGGAGAAGAATGACCTGGCTCTGCAGTTGCAGGCAGTGAGTGGGGGAGGGGGTGGGCTTTCCCTAAGTGACCTGGTGCCAGGCACCCCCAGTGGACCCTAGGTTACTCTAAAGAAATACTACCAGACCAAGTGTGCTCTGGGCACCCAGGCCTTACCTGGATCTTTCTTCTTACTACAGAGGTGCCAGATGGGGCTGAAGTGCCATGCTCAGCCTCCTACCTCCCCAGCCATGGGCTCAGTCTGTTGACATGTCCTAATGCTCCACTCCCCATGCCACCTTGGCTTCTTGCTAAAGCTGCAATGGAGGCCCAGCTCTCCCCTTTTTGCTGTCCCTGAAACAGATCTGTGCTCCCTTCTCTGGTTAAGGGCCATGGGAACCCATGGCAGGTAATGGTAATAACCAGAGGTCAGGGGTCAAGGGTCTGGAATCTCTCCAAGCTCACAGAGCCATTCTTTCATTCAGCAAATATGCTGAGTGTCACCTGTGTGCCAGGCTAACTCTGGAGATATACTGGTGGGAAGACAGAGATGGGTCTCTGGTCACAAAACTCCCAGATAGTGCAGGAGACCGTTCGACAGCCAGGCAGTGAGGAAACAATGAAGTGGGAGAGGATACCTGAGCCCTCCATGGCCGTGCAGGGCTTGGCATACCCACTGCTCCCCACCCCACCCCTCCAAAGGCTTCAGCCCAGCGCTTCTGCCCTAGAGCCCTTGTTTGGGCCTCACTCTGGGTGGCCCCCAGCCTGTCTCATGTTCCCCTCTTGATGGTGCCACCTCTACCCCAGCCTGTCCATTCCTCCACCTGAAGCCTCATCCTTCATGAGCCTCTTCAGAGCCAAGAGCAGGTCATAGTCATTCCTTGGTCCCCAGAGTCCAGCTGAGCATGGGTGTCAAACCTTTGCATGGACAAATGAACTTTCCTCTCCAGGGCCTGGCCTGGTGTCCCTCAGCTGGTTTACCTGGCCCTGCCTCAAATCTGCCCCATTCCTGTATCTCTTGCAGGAGCAGGACAACCTGGCAGATGCTGAGGAGCGCTGCCACTTGCTAATCAAGTCCAAGGTGCAGCTTGAGGCCAAGGTGAAGGAGATGAGCGAGCGGCTAGAGGACGAGGAGGAAGTGAACGCTGACCTGGCCGCCCGCCGGCGCAAGCTGGAAGATGAGTGCACGGAACTCAAGAAGGACATCGATGACCTGGAGCTGACGCTGGCCAAGGCTGAGAAGGAGAAGCAAGCCACTGAGAACAAGGTGGGGCTGGGTGGGCTGTGGGGAAAGGCCCAGAGGCAGTGGACTGGCTTTAGGGCCAGGCAGCCTCAGATCCCACTCCTGGCTCTGCCAGGCCCATTATGTAATCCTTGGAAAGGTCACTTTCTCTCTGTGGGCCTGAATTTCCTCACCTGCCAAATGGGGTTAATAGCAGCACTTACCTCATTAGGGTGGTTAAGGATTCAGTGTGTAACTAGCCTTTGCTAATACTCATCACAGGGCCTAACATGCAGTAGGTGCTCAGCAAATTGTGGATTGCAAGCTCCTGGAAGGCAGGAACCCCAGGCGCCTTCCCATGCCTTCTACCATTGAACCCTTTCGACAGCCCCATGTGGTTCACAGGACTTGGAGTACTGACTCCAGGAGGGAAAGTGAGGCCCGGGAGTGAAAGCTGCTATTCAGGTTCTCCCAGGTGCTCACTGAGGAAGGACTAGGAAACAGCCATTGTGAACACCTGCTGAAACCACAAAGAGCCAGCACTTACCGCTCTGTCCCTCTGGGCTGGGCACTGTGCGAAGGGCTTTGTGAGCATTTGCTCATTAATCCCTTGTACAACTTGAGGAGGATGGTACTGTCATCCTTTAAGGATGAAGAAATGAGAGTCAGAGTGAAGTGACTTGCCCAAGGTCCCCTTGCTGGAAGGGGTGGTTGCTGTGACCTGGCATGGTGGCTGCTCAGACCAGGCTATGGAGGGACATTCCGATGGTGACCCTGGCCTTGGCACAGGTGAAGAACCTGACAGAGGAGATGGCAGCACTGGATGAGTCAGTGGCCCGGCTGACCAAAGAGAAGAAGGCATTGCAGGAGGCCCACCAGCAGGCCCTGGGTGACCTGCAGGCCGAGGAGGACCGTGTGAGCGCACTGGCCAAGGCCAAGCTCCGGCTGGAGCAGCAGGTGGAAGATGTGAGTCAGGGCCACAGCAGAGGGCTGTGTGGTGGCACCAGAAAAGCTGAGATGGTGACTGGCTGGGCCGAGTGGCTGAGCATGTCTGCCTCACTCTGCTCCACAGCTGGAGTGTTCCCTGGAGCAGGAGAAGAAGCTGCGCATGGACACAGAACGAGCCAAGCGCAAGCTGGAGGGTGACCTGAAGCTGACACAGGAGTCAGTGACAGATGCTGCCCAAGACAAGCAGCAGCTGGAGGAGCAGCTCAAGAAGTAGGCATGGGGTGGACAGCAGACCCGACCCCCAGGGGTCTCCCGAGCCTGCACCCACTTCTCAGTTTCACTCCCACATAACGTGGAGGGTTGAGAGATGGGGCTCACTAGGGTGCCAGGGGTAGTGTCCTGCCCTCTCTGGACCTAGAGCCCCAGCCAGGCTCAGGGTTCAGGGCTTGAGAGGGAACACAGGAGCGAGGTCACATAGGGCTGCTCTGGGTACAGATTGCCTCAGGCAGGGTGTGTGCTGGGGGGTGCCGGGGGACCCTAAGCAGGTTGATGGAAGTTAGGACTAGGGCAGGCTCATGTCCCCCTGTAACCTCCAGGAAGGACTCCGAGTTGAGCCAGTTGAACCTGCGAGTGGAGGATGAGCAGCTCCTCGGAGCCCAGCTGCAGAAGAAGATCAAGGAGCTGCAGGTGTGTGGGGGACTGGGGTGGGGAGGGACTGGGATGAGAGGCCCACAGAGGTGACAGCTGCTGCTGGCTGTCCCCAGGCTCGGGCGGAGGAGCTGGAAGAGGAGCTGGAGGCAGAGCGGGCTGCCCGAGCCCGTGTGGAGAAGCAGCGGGCGGAGGCAGCCCGGGAGCTGGAGGAGCTGAGCGAGCGGCTGGAGGAGGCTGGCGGCACGTCCGCAGGGCAGCGCGAGGGCTGCCGCAAGCGCGAGGCCGAGCTGGGGCGCCTGCGGCGGGAACTGGAGGAGGCAGCACTGCGGCATGAGGCCACGGTGGCTGCCCTGCGGCGCAAGCAGGCGGAGAGTGCAGCTGAGCTGGGCGAGCAGGTGGACAGCCTGCAGCGCGTGCGGCAGAAGCTGGAAAAAGAAAAGAGCGAGCTCCGCATGGAGGTGGATGACCTGGGTACCAGCGTCGAGACTCTGGCCCGTGGCAAGGTGTCTGCCTCCTTTCAGACCCTAACCTCTGACCTGCCTTCAGCATCCTCTCCTGACCCCTCGCTCTGTTCCCATAGCCATCTTGACTCTAATTCTGCCTCCAAAGGCAGACCCCAGCCTCTAACACTTGACCTCCATCATGCCAATACTGACCCCATGCTAGTCTTGATCATATAATGGACCCTGACCCCTGACCCATCCACCTGGCATCCAACCCCAACCCCACACCAGTCCTAACCTCAAAACCTGACTGAAACTCTATGCTCTGACTATAGGTCATTTCTGATCCAGCATCCAATTCTAGCCTCTCATCCCTTGAACTGTGAATTCTGACCTAATAGCTGTCCTGTATCCCTACACCCAGTGTTGACTCCTGACTTTTGTAACAGCTGGCCTCTGACCACTGTCCCCAGCTGACTTTGACTTTAGTATCCTAACCTCACTCTGACCCACCAGCCTCAGGACTAGTCCAGACCTCTCACTTCTGATGCTCATCTTTTAAGCCATAGCCCAGCACTAGAATCTGACCTTGAACTTGTGGTTCTACTCGCCCTTTGATTTCTGGGCCCATGTTTAGTCTTCTAGTTCGCTATCCCAAGTCCCAGTCTAATAAGCAGCTGTAGATCTGCCCTCTGATTCACAAACTTGTCCTGACTCCTGACCGTGGATCCCAGGCCAGTGCAGAGAAGCTGTGCCGGGCCTACGAGGATCAGCTGAGTGAGGCCAAGATCAAGGTGGAGGAACTGCAACGTCAGCTGGCGGATGCGAGCACCCAGCGTGGGCGACTTCAAACTGAGAGCGGTGAGGCCAGGGGCTCAGCTGGGCCCCCTGGGGCCTCGTTGCTGCCCCTCACCTGCCTGACCTGCCACCTCACCCCTTGGCCTGCAGGGGAGCTGAGCCGCCTGCTTGAGGAGAAGGAGTCTCTGCTTAGCCAGCTGAGCCGTGGGAAGGCCTCAGCCACTCAGAGCCTGGAGGAACTGCGGAGGCAGCTGGAGGAGGAGAGCAAGGTTGGCTGGCCATTGGCTGCCACACAGCAGGCAAGGTGGGCACCAGGGCCACTGGCCCGGCCTGATGCTGAGGTCACTGGGGTCCCTGCAGGCCAAGAGTGCGCTGGCCCACGCTGTGCAGGCCTTGCGGCATGACTGCGACCTCCTGCGGGAGCAGCATGAAGAAGAGGCCGAGGCCCAGGCTGAGTTGCAGCGGCTGCTGTCCAAGGCCAATGCTGAGGTGGCCCAGTGGAGGAGCAAGTATGAGGCAGACGCCATCCAGAGGACTGAGGAGCTGGAGGAGGCCAAGTGAGTGCCTTACCAGCCAGGCCATCACTACACTGGAGTGACGCCTGTGCCTGAGCCCTGTTGGGGTGAGGGGGAAGATGTAGGGGCCATTATTTTGCTAGCCTCCCTCTGCTACACAGTCCATACTCTGTCTGCTCCTGTGGCCTAGAAAGAAGCTGGCACTTCGGCTTCAGGAGGCAGAGGAGGGGGTGGAAGCTGCACATGCCAAGTGCTCATCGCTGGAGAAGGCCAAGCTGCGACTGCAGACAGAGTCGGAGGACGTGACCCTGGAGCTGGAGCGGGCGACTTCAGCAGCTGCTGCACTGGACAAGAAGCAGCGGCACTTGGAGAGGGCACTGGAGGAGCGGCGGCGGCAAGAGGAGGAGACACAGCGGGAGCTGGAGGCAGCCCAGAGGGAGGCCCGCAGCCTTGGCACTGAGCTCTTCCGGCTGCGGCATAGCCACGAGGAGGCTCTTGAGGCCCTGGAGACACTCAAGCGGGAGAACAAGAACCTACAGGGTATGACACACCCCAGGGTCAGAGAACTGCTCTGGGATCATCAGGAGTACCTTGGAGTCACACAGGGTGCCCTGGTGAGGTCACCCTGGGATTAGGGTTGGAGGATGAGCCATGGGAGTGGCTCCTCAGTGCCCTGTCCACTTTGTAGAGGAGATCAGTGACCTCACGGATCACGTCAGCCTCAGTGGGAAGAGCATCCAGGAGCTGGAGAAAGCCAAGAAGGCGCTGGAAGGGGAGAAGAGCGAACTCCAGGCCGCACTGGAGGAGGCCGAGGTGGGAGGCCGGCCACAGGGGTGGGGTGGACACTGACCTGCTGCTTCCCCAGCCTCCCTCCTCCCTTAAGACATGTTCAGGGTCCCCAGGCCTACAATGCCTACTCTGCACCCCAGGGGGCGTTGGAGCTGGAAGAAACCAAGACTCTGCGGATCCAGCTGGAGCTATCCCAAGTCAAGGCTGAGGTGGACCGGAAACTGGCAGAGAAAGAGGAGGAGTGCGCTAACCTGAGGTATGGGACGGGCCATTCCTCCCCTACCACACAAGGGTTCATCCGCCCTCCCCAGGGCTAACTGCCTCTCCCATCCCAGCCACCTGAGGAGAAAAGAAGGAAAGTGTGCCGAGCCTCCATTGTGTGCACAAACTGGCACCGACACTGCTTTGCCCCTCCCACTCGACTTTCTCAGGTCCGGATTATAGTCTGGAGGTGAACCTCCGGGAGGCTACAGGACTTGCCAACAAGGGGACACAGTTGGGGTAGAGTCAGAGTTCAGCCCGTGTCTGTGTGCTCTAGAGCCTCACTCATCTGTGAACTTGCTCCAACGGGCAACAGGCAGTCACAAGGGGCTTAAAAGCAGGGGATACGTTCACATTTCCAGCATTCCTTGGGTGTTTGTAAGAACAGTGTGGTACCTGCACCCACCTGCTTTTACAAGGCCAAAACCCCACCCCCTTCAATCTCCTTCTCCTAGGCGCAACCACCAGCGGGCAGTCGAGTCTCTGCAGGCCTCCCTGGATGCAGAGACACGGGCCCGCAATGAGGCACTGCGGCTCAAGAAGAAAATGGAGGGTGACCTCAATGACCTGGAGCTGCAGCTGGGCCATGCCACCCGCCAGGCCATGGAGGCACAGGCAGCCACACGGCTCTTACAGGCCCAACTTAAGGAGGAGCAGGCAGGGCGGGATGAGGAGCAGCGGCTGGCGGCCGAGCTCCGAGAGCAGGCACAGGCCCTGGAGCGGCGGGCCGCACTGCTGGCCGGGGAGCTGGAAGAGCTTCGGGCTGCCCTGGAGCAGGGCGAGCGCAGCCGCCGGCTGGCAGAACAAGAACTGCTGGAGGCCACAGAGCGTCTCAACCTGCTGCATTCACAGGTGGGGACAGGGATTCACAGGGATGTGTGGGGTAGCCACCTGCTGGCTGGCTCTGAGGCTCTGCTTCCCCCCAGAACACAGGCCTCCTGAACCAGAAAAAGAAGCTAGAGGTGGATCTGGCCCAGCTGAGTGGAGAGGTGGAGGAGGCTGCTCAGGAGAGGCGAGAAGCTGAGGAGAAGGCCAAAAAGGCCATTACCGACGTGAGGCTGGGCTGGGAAGAGAGCCCAAAGGAATGTCCAGACTGGCCACCTCCTGACCTTGCCACATTCTCCCCCATAGGCAGCCATGATGGCTGAGGAGCTGAAGAAGGAGCAAGACACCAGTGCACACCTGGAGCGGATGAAGAAGACACTGGAGCAGACGGTGCGGGAGCTACAGGCACGGCTTGAGGAGGCTGAACAAGCTGCCCTCCGTGGCGGGAAGAAACAGGTGCAGAAGCTGGAGGCCAAGGTGTGTATAGCTCCCTGTCCCTTCCCCTGCACGGTGACCAGCCCAAGGGCAGGCTTGGAGCATCAGGCCTATCCCCTGGCTGGTCACAGGTCCGGGAGCTGGAGGCCGAGCTCGATGCTGAGCAAAAGAAGCATGCGGAGGCCCTCAAGGGGGTGCGGAAACATGAGCGCCGGGTCAAGGAACTTGCATACCAGGTGGGTGACAAGGTCCATCTCAAGGGGTGGCCTGGGAGCTGGTCCCTTCTGGGCAAGACTTGAGTCCCTCTGCCTGTGCAGGCTGAGGAGGACAGGAAGAACCTGGCTCGCATGCAGGACCTGGTGGACAAGCTGCAGAGCAAGGTCAAGAGCTACAAACGGCAGTTTGAAGAGGCGGTGAGTACACCAGGTCTGGGCCCCGGGGCCTGGTACTGGTCAGGACACCTGTGGTAACCCAGCTGCAGTGCTGGCTCCAAGCTCTGCAGCCAGGTGAGATGCCGGCAATAGTCAGCCCTGCTCCATTTGAGTCATGGCTTCCCGAGTGTTAGCTTTCTGCGTAGGCAGGCTGCCCTAAAGGGCAGTGACCCTGATGTCCCAGTAGGAAGTTTCTAACAGCAAAAGATGAGACCCAGCTCTGTCTCTGAAGGGACCCCATGTGCTTTCCTCTTCCGGGCCAAGTCTGGCACATGGGCACTTCTGGAAGGAATGTTTCAACCCCCTCCTTCCTGCTCTGGGTACTAGTGAGCGGGGAGAAGGGCCACAGGTAGTGGTGGTGGAAGCAGAGCTGAGGACCAGGAGAAGCCAGCCCCCTTCTGGGGATGGGATGGGGACCAGACTGACCATCTCAGTTACCAAAGGGTGACCCCTCCTGCCTCCGCCTCCAGGAGCAGCAGGCTAACACCAACCTGGCCAAGTACCGCAAGGCCCAGCATGAGTTGGATGACGCGGAGGAACGGGCAGATATGGCAGAAACCCAGGCCAACAAGCTGCGGGCGCGGACCCGGGATGCCCTGGGACCCAAGGTAAGAGGCAGCCGGGGGCACCACCCTGTCCCCTGCATGGCAGTGCAGGTGTTACAGCTCATTCAGCCACCCTTCTTTCCCTCAGCACAAGGAGTGATGCCTGAACCCCTGGGCTCTGAAGAGGAATGCCTGCCATCTGCCCCTCACCTGACATCCTATCTTTATCTTCATCTGCTGAGCCCTGAATAAACATCATGTCTGCAGCTCCAGCTGGCTTCTTTCCCATTCTTTTGGGCTCAGGTGGCGGGGGAGCACATGGTCCCATGGACAAAAGTCAGGTCCACATCAGTCATTTAAAATAAAGTTCTTTAATAGTCTCCATTTAATTGGTTTATTTGTTGTTAATAAATTGGCAACACAAGGAGGGGCCAAGGGTGTGCTCCCAGGCAGGCTCCTGTGTGTCTGGGCTCAGGCAGGAGACGCTGCCCTGGGACAGGTGCCGGGGCAGGGCACGGCTACCCCGTGTCCCAAGGTATGGAAGGAAAAGGTCCCCCACATCTAGGGGGAAATCCCTGGACAAACACAGCGGCCAATGAGCAAACAGAACCAGAAGAGCTAAAGGAAAATGAGGGAGGGGCAGATGGGCAGGCTTGGGGGAAGGTAGTATTCTCTGGTATCCCCCACCTGTGCCCAGGGCTCAGAAGCCTTTGCCTGGGTCCAAAGGCCAGGGCGGGCTTGGCTCACAGGGGAGGGTGCCCATCACTCTCCCCACCCCAGGACTGACGGCCAAGAGACTGGGCAGGCGCTCAGACAGAGCTACTCTTAAAAGTCCCCTTACCTCCAGGTGGGCCAAGGCCCCAAAGTTCTGAAAGGTAGGCACAGTGCCCGTCTTCATCATGGGGATCTTGAAGGAACTGAGGTCTCCCAGGAACTGGGGCCCTCAGACGCAGAGGCCAAGGGCTTCTAGACATCCCCTCCCACCAAGTCTGTACCCAAAGACGTGGGGCAGGCAGACAGCAGCAGGAAGGCAGGGGTGGGAACAGGGCAGGGAGTGCGGCACGTGTACCCACACTCGCCCACACTAGCCCTAGCCCAACAGCCTCCCGAGGCCTGGCCCAAGGTCACTCCTCGGTGAAGTCCCTGTCTATGTCCATGTAGGGCTCCTCAATGTAGCTGACAAGGGCAGAAGGTGACTGGCGGTCCGGGTTTAGCAGGATGGACACGGTCTCTTTCCAGTATGAGAAGCTGATGCAGGAGCTCTGGGCAAAGAGAGAGGGGGTTGAGGGGTACCTAGAGGACCCAGGTCAAGGCCAGCACCCTGCAGGGAGGGCCTAGGTAAGGGGATAAAGAGCTGCCTGCCACATGGTTAGGCAGGGACCACGCACCCTGAATGCCCTTCTGAGTGGCCCTGCGTCTGCATGCTCGCAGCCCACCCACCAAAACCACGTGGTGGGGGCACTTACGTTCTCCAGGCAGGTGCTGTCCTTATCCTTATGCAGGTAATGCTGCTGCCAGAAGCGCAGCAAGTTATGGAAGTTGTTGAGCAGGAAACCGGGATATTTCTTGCTGTGCTCCATCCGTTGCAGCAGCCGCAGGTACAGGGGCAGCCGCTCTTTCCGTCGGGCCAACATCAGGATCACCAGGCTGGTATTGAGGCAGCTGACGTTCTCCTGCAAGGCCCCAGGCCAGCTGGGTCAGGTAGCCCCAATGGCCCTTGGTGGGCCTGGGGTGCCACTGGGCAGGGAGGGGTGTGGCCCTGGCCCAGACTCTGAAGAGCCATGCACTAACTGCCCCTGCACAAACCTGAGAGAGGACTGGGGAAAGGAACGATGCCCACACTGCCAGCATCTTGCCCTCGGCACCTTCCTGGTCCCTATCCCCCACTCATATGGGAACATCAACCATCATCTTTCTAAAGTCTACCTCTTTATCCAATCAACTCAGCCATCACTTCTTCCAGAAGCTTCGATCCCTGAGTGCATGCATTAGATGCAGTTATCTCCCCTTTTAACTTTCATCTGGCAGTAGACTATGAGCATTAGGAGGGAAGAGTCTCTGTTTTGTTCACTTTGCATCCCCAGCCCATGGCCTTGCTTCACTAAATGTCTGTCAGATAAAGCAACAAAAGAAATCTCTGAGAGGTACTAGTATTACCCCCATTTCAAAGAGAGGTGTGAAGTTTGGAGAATATTAACTACACAGCTATTTAGTGAAGAGGGTGGAGTCAACCTCAGGTCCAAGCTCAAAGCCTGCAAAGCAGGCAGGTAGGGAGAACACTGGAATGGGAGTCAGAACTCGGTGCCAATCCCGACTCTGACCTGCCCGTCTGTGACCTCAGAGACCTGCTCCCTCCTCAGGCCCCATCTGTAAAATGGGGCACTGATCCCGTGTTGGAAAATGTCCTCAGAATAGCTGGGAGGGTTTCCCAGGAAAAGAGAGATGAGTCTCAAGGAGCTACTCTGCTACAATGAGGGCAGGAGAGAGCAGCAGTCAGGCTCTGAGACACTCTTCCCTACTGCACATCTGCAGGGCCTCTCACCTGGGTCAGCGTCTGCACATGGATAATGTTGATGAGGCGGAAAAGGAAGGACATCTGAGTGGGCACCTGTGATATGTAGGCAAGGAGGCGGCACTCGGACAGGACCTCGGCAACTGGGGACAGAGGCAGAGGTGTGAGCAGCAGGCTCGGAAGCAGGTTCATGGCTCAGGCACAAGGCCCTTCAACCCAGGCCTCTAGTCAAGCCCCCCTTGGGTCTTGACTCTGAAGCTGGATGCCCCAATTATCAAAACAACTAAAGAAAAGGCTGGCTGCAGCAAGAACAAATCTCCAACTGTTCTGCCACCCAGGCTAAGCATGCATTCTTATTAGAGCCCTAAATGGGAGTTCACCGCCACCTCTCCTTCAGTCGTGCTCAGGGAAGACTGCTCCCTGAGGCCTTCCCTGTGCTTCGCCACCTGGGTCCTTCTCATCCCAGGCGATCTCAGAACAGAAAGAACGTTTTTTGGATTCTGCTACCAACAATGGTTTTTCATCTTCATTAAAAATGTTATATACTCATGGACATGGACTATAGACTACTGGTTTACCAGAGGGTAGGGGGTGGGGGAGGAGGGAGTAGGCAGATGGTTAAAGGGGGTCAAATATAGGGGGGTAGGAGGAGGGTGAAGTGGGTAAAGAGGATCAAATATATGGTAGCTGAAGGAAACCAGACTTTGGGTGGTAAACACAATAGAATATACAGATGTTATATATGTTCATTAAAGGAAACACAAACAATAAAGAAAAGTAAAAGCAGTAAAAAATATATCACCCCGAGATCCACCATCTTGACCCCAGCCATGTGGGCATTTGGTGTGGCTACTTCCAGCCTTTCTTGTCTCCCTGCTGAAAGCTGGGTGTCTGACACCAGGATGGTTACACTGAACTTCTTTGCCTTGGCATTCTGATCTTTTCTTACCTTTCATGTCCACTTGGTTTTCAAATCGGTCCAGTGACAGAGTGACACAGCGCACCAGCATGTTAGAGTCCACCAGCGAGCTGTTGATCTGCTTCAGAAACACCTGGAACTGAGCAGAGACCAGGCTTAGATGGGAGGTGGCAGGCTCCTGACTGGAGGCAGCCATGGCCCAGAGCAGGTGGTCACTGCAAGGGGCACTGATCTACCCCTGCCCAGTTGTCTTTGATAGGAAGACAGAGAGGCTCAGACAAGCTGACTGACATGCCCTTATCACCCACCAATAAGCAGCCTCAGTAAGAGCTCAATCCAGATCTTCTGATGCCACATCCACTATTTTCTCCACCGAAGGGTGCTGGACTCATTTTTACTTCAACTAGTCTAAGCTGGGTTTCTGTCACACACACCTTCTGAACCTAACACACCAGGTCCAGTTCCATCTCTCTGGGGCTCATATGGCACTCTCCACACAGCTTCAGAACTGTTTTCACAGCCCACCTGTTCCCAACCTTCACACCTGCCACAACTATCACACTTTCATGCCCGGCACAGAGAGGTGCTAATGAATGTCTGCTCAAGACTGCCCAGACTACCCGGTAGCCTCTAATTTAAAACCAGCACCTGAGAAGTAGTGAGGACCAGGGCTCCAAAGATAACTTCTGGACAACATGGCAAACCCCATGGAGACCTGAATTAGTCTTACCTTTGCATCAGTGTTGATGTACTTATTGAATCTCTTGAATGCGTCAACGTTGAACTTCATCAACTCCCCCAGGAGGTCAAAGTAACTCTGGAGCACATCCCTTGACTTGCACTCACTGTCCACAATGCAGTACAGGATGTGCTGGGGGGTGGGAGAGGACAGGGTGAAGGTAGGAAGGTGGCTGCCACCCCAAGGCAGAACTCTCCTAAGCTGCCTGCCACCTGCCTCCTACCAGGGCCTGGCATGTAGCCCAGACCACACGACGTCTGCTTTGAGCAAGCATCCAGGGGTATGGAATCTGCTTCCCTGTCTAGACTCTCATCTGAGGATGTTGGTGGCTCCAAGGACAAGGCCAGGCCCGACACTCACAGAAGGGGATGGGCTGGGGTATGTAGCCAGGACCTCTCTTGCTGGCCCAGGGCTCAGAGCTAAAGCCTGCAACCTGCTCTGCAGGCACCAAGATGGCCACAGCTCTCCATCTTGCAGGCAAGGGGCACTGTCTCCATGTAACACTGGCCACTGCCCAAGCACCGAGGCCACTCAAGTAAATGAAGCACAAGGTTTAAGGGTACGGGACACATTTTGACCCCATGGTTTGTGTTTATGTTTATGAATGAAAACATTTACAGTAGAATCAATGAATTTTTATCAAGAACATAAAAGCCAATTTAACTCAATAAAGTTTTCTACAACAGTTAAATTGTTTCCATTCCGCATTTTCCTGAAGTTACACAGATTTGGATCAATTATTTTCCAAATGGATTTTACGATTCATGAGTCAGTTTCTTGTTCACATATATATAAATACATATATATTTTCAACCAATTATAGCTTTGGCCATTTTGTTCCCCCCCATCTTTTAATAAATTTTGCTTTTCCTGAAGGTCACTTTTCAATAAAGGGAAATATCGTTTTAGTCAGCAGCAAAATCTCCTTAGGGTCAAAAGGTCTTGCTGGGTAATTCTAATGTTCTTGTGCTCCTCCACGGCCACCCCCCAGATCCCTTAATTACCCGCTAAGTGCCCATGGGGAACCCACAGTTGGCAACTCAGGGCTAAGAGTAGGGTAATCTGCACTGGCATTTTAAAAAAGAGATTTGGTTGAGGAGATTCGGCTGCTCCTGCCCAACTGTCTAGGACTCAGGACAGGAAAGCAGTGCACAGCGCTGCAGGGAGAATGGGACACCCAACACCCTGGCTCCTCCAGGCTATTACCTCCAGAAGGCCTCGCT